TGTGTGTGTGTGTGTGTGTGTGTGTGTGTGTGTGTGTGTGTGTGTGTATAAGACAGAGAGAAGGGAGAGGTCAGGTGCCCCACTTGATGTACAGCTGACAATTCAGCTAGCCTGGCTATGCAGCTTGCTCCCACTTCCCTTAGGCTGGGACTACAGGTGGGCTGCAGGGTCCACCCAGGACTATGTGGTGACATGAACTCCAGTCCCTGCCCTTGCACAGCATGCACTGCTGTCATCTGCCCAGACCCAGAATTAACTCTTTAAAGAAACACATCCCTGCAGATCCACTGGGTTCTGTTTGGATGGGATTTGGGTTGCACTGTGAACCTGATTCCTTGCTATGTTCTTTTTCTTAACTTTCATCAGTGGAATCTCCATCCTGCCCTAATCCATCCCCATGGCCCAATAAGGTCTCCATAATATATATGTTGCTTTTGTTGATTTACTTCCTGGGGATTATTTTGGAGAAAAATTCCCTAGAGTAGGAATTCTCAGCCAAAAGATAGGAATGTTTTATGGTTTTATTTTCAGCGTTCCACAGAAATAAATCATTGTATACTTTTATCGTTGTTTTCTTTCCTTTTCTTTTCTTTTCTTTTTTTTTTTTTTTTTTCTTCTTTGAACTGGGATCTCACTTGGTCTGAAATTCCTGGGCTCAAACAATCTCCTGCCTCAGATGCTAGAGCATCTGAGCAGCTGGGACTACAGGTATGTGCCACACTCAGCTCAATTCTTCAAAAAAAAAAAAAAAAAAGGATTTAATTTTATGGTTTTAAATTGTGAAGGGGGATACTCTCCAAGCCACTGAAAGTGTTCTTAATAGGTTTTAGAGCCAGATTGTTGGTCCTGGGCTGCTCCATCCAGAGGCAGTGTGGGCTTGGCTGGGGCCCCATGTTCCGTGAAACCCCAGCTTGGTACTGTTAGAGGATAAAGGGTTTGGGTCTGACAAGGTGACCCACTGAGAAAGTGACTGCTGTGTAAACGAGGACACGAGTCTGGGCCTCTCTGCTACCCGTGTGAAAGATCTTAGGGTGGCCACCCACACCTGCCGCCTCAGCACTCAGCACCTGTGCTTCCCAGCCAGCCTAACCAGAATAATTGAGCTGCTGTTTCAGTGAGAAAATGAATGCAAAGATACCTAATGTTGCCCTCTGGTTTCTATACACACACACACACACACACACACACACACACACACACACACACACACA